GGAACTTTCAAAACCAGGGGGTTGGTGCACATATACCTCTTCTTCTATATATCCATTTAAGAATGCACTCTTAACATCCATATGTTACATAGTGATGCCTTTATTAACAGCAAAAGAGATTAAGAGTCTGATAGATTCTAACCTGGCGACTGGAGAAAAGGTTTCTGTATAGTCTATCCCCTCTTGCTGACTATAACCTTGTGCTACCAATCGTGCTTTGTTTCTGATGACTTCACCTTGTTCATTCAGTTTGTTTCTGAACACCCATTTTGTTCCAATGACGTTGAATCCTTTTGGTTTAGGAACTAGATCCCATACGTCATTTCTTGTGAATTGATTTAGCTCCTCTTTCATTGCTAGAATTCAGTCATTGTCCAGAAGTGCTTCATAAATTGATGTTGGTTCAATTAGAGAAACCAGTCCCATGAGAGATTCTTCAGAGTTTCTAAAGCTAGCTCTTGTTCTGGTTGGATCTTCCTTTCTTCCTAAGATTGTTTCTTCTGGGTGATCCATGCTGCTTCTGGATGGTCTTTTCTGGAGTTGATCAACAGAAGGTGCTGGATTGCTTGCAGTGGCTCTTTCTGATGTTGAGGGAGAGTCTCTGTTGAGAGCTTCTAATGACTTGTCTTCAGTACCTGTGAATTCAACTTTTATACCTGCAAGGAATTCCTTCTGCTTTGACTTTTGAGAGTCAAGCTTATCATCAAAACGAACACTGATTGATTCTTCCACAATCTGTGTTTCTGTATTATATACTTTGTACCCTCTTGAGCGTTCAGAGTATCCTAACATAATACACTTTTGTGCTTTAGAGTCAAACTTGTTCAAATAATTTTTTGTATTCAAAATAAAGCATGTACATCCAAATGGATGAAAATAAGAAATGTCGGGCTTTCTGTTCTTCCACAATTCATATGGAGTCTTTTCCAAAATAGGTCTTATGGAGATTCTATTCTGAATGTAACACACTGTGTTTATTGCCTCTGCCCAGAAGATCTTAGCAACGTTAGTCTCGTTGATCATGGTTCTGGCCATTTCTTGCAATGTTCTGTTCTTTCGTTCTACAACTCCATTTTGCTCGGGAGTTCTAGGACAAGAGAAATCATGCAGAATGCCTTTGTCATTAAAGAATGACTCAAAATCTTTTTTTTCAAACTCTCCACCATGATCACTTCTGATTTTGACGATTCTAAGATCCTTTTCATTCTGAACTTGGTTGCAGAAGGTAACAAACACAGAGTGTGACTTGTCCTTGTGTCTTAAGAACTTTACCCATGTCCATCTGCTATAGTCATCTACGATTACTAACCCATACTTCTTGCCACTGACTGAAGCAGTTTTAACTGGTCCAAATAAGTCAATATGCAGAAGTTCTAATGGCTTAGAGGTGGAAACAACGTTTTTTTATTTGAAAGCTAGTTTGGCAAACTTTCCTTTCTGACATGCTTCACACAGAGCATCTGAATTGAACTTCAGGTTAGGAAGTCCTCTGACCAGATTGAGTTTGTTAATCTGAGATATTCTTCTCAAACTAACATGTCCCAATCTTCTGTGCCAGATCCATTGCTCGTTGTTAACAGACAGAAGACACTTTACATTCTGACTTTTTAGTTCAGAAAGTTTTATTTTATAAATGTTGTTTCTCATCTTTCCATTAAATAGGATAGTCCCATCTTTCTGACTAACAGCTTTGCATGAATTTTGATTAAAGATTATATCATAACCGTTATCACTTAATTGACTTATGGATAACAGGTTATGCATTAATCCATCTACTAATAAAACATTACTTATAGAGGGAAGATTTCCATTACCTACTGTTCCAGAGCCAATGATCTTTCCTCTCTGATTGCCTCCAAAGCCTACGTGGCCTCCAGGCTTAAGTTCCAGGCTTTGGAACATATGCCTTCTTCCCGTCATGTGTCGTGAGCAGCCAGAGTCCAAGTACCATGACTGGTGTTTTTGCTTTGCTGCTAAAGATATATGCCACATGTATTATTTTATCCTTAGGTACCCATATTTTCTTGGGTCCTGATTTGTTAGTTTTACCAAAACTCTGGTTGAATTTTGGTTTGACAGAATAACCACTACTTGTGTATTTTATGTCATGTGTGTGCCCATATATAAAGTGTGAATCAAGTGGAGTGTGTTTTATAACTAAATCCATGGAATTTCTTGATGTAGGTACTTTACCTTGGTATCCTATCCCTTTTCTACCATTTCTGCTAACTCCATAGATCATTGAAGCCATTTTGCTTCTATCTATGTTTTTAGCTAGAAACTTCTAAAATCTGTGATCATACTCCTTGATGATCTCATCAGCACTGCTGGGAGTTTCAGGGATTGTTTCCTTTTGAGAGTTTTGCAATTGATTTTCTAATTTTGAAATTTTATCTTTTAACTCAGAATTCTCCAATTTGAGACTCTCAGACTTATCAGAGTCAGAAGCAAGATTCCTTTTCAGGTTTCTGAATTTGACTCTGATCTGCTGATATCTTTCTAGAATTTCATTAAGGCTTTCAGCTAGTTCAACCTTAGTAAAGTTTATAGCAAAGTCAGGGAATACCTCTTCTGTATCTGATTCAGAGTCTGACTCAGAAGCTTCACTGTCTTCTGTTATGCTTGCCATGAGAGCTATGTTTGCTCTTTCATCATCTGATTCTGAGTCAGCTTCAGATGTGTCAGAATCATCCAATGTGGCCATGAGACTTTTCTTCTTTTCCTTGCCAAACCTCTTTCTGGGCTTCTCCTTCTGAAGCTTTGGGCAATCACTTTTGTAGTGCCCTTGTTCGTTACATTCATAGCAGATGATGTCTTTGTTGTTTGGCTTTTTGTTTCCTGAGGAATCTTCAGATCTTTTGTGTCCAGAGGAGGATTCAGATTTTTTGTATCTGGAGAAGGATTCATTCTGATTATCTGATCTTCTGGGATTCCTGAACTTCCTTTTCCTCTGCTTCCATAATTGGTTCACCCTTCTGGAGATGAGGGACAGTTCATCTTCTTCTGATGAGGACCCATCAGAGGTTTCTTCCACAGCCTGCAAAACTTTGGAGTCAGATTTTCTGTTAGATTTTAAAGCTAATGGCTTACCTTGCTTTTGAGGTTCATCTGCTTCTAGATCTATCTCGTGACTTCTGAGGGAGCTGACAAGTTCCTCCAGAGAGATTTTGTTGAGATCCTTGACTAGCTTAAGTGTTGTGACCATTGGCCTCCACTGTTTTGGCAAGCTTCTGATTATCTTCTTAACATGATCAGTAGTGGAATATCCTTTGTCAAGAACTTTTAGACCAGCAACCAGAATCTGAAATCTTGAAAACATGGTTTCTATTGATTCACTTTCTTCCATCTTGAATGCCTCATACTTCTGAATGAGCGCAAGAGCTTTGGTTTCTTTGACTTGAATGTTGCCTTCATGCGTCATTCTCAGAGAGTCAAACATATTCTTTGCAATGTCTCTGTTTGATATCTTTTCATATTCTGAATAAGAGATGGCGCTGAGAAGAATTGTTCTGGCCTTGTGATGATTTCTGAAGTCACTCTTTTGCTGATCAGTCATTGTTTTCCTACCAATCTTCTGATCACTTCCATCCACTGGGTGTATGTATCCATCAGTCACCATGTCCCACAGATCAGCATCATGGGCCAAAAAGAAACTTTCAATTCTGTCTTTCCAGTAGTCAAAGTTCTCTCCATCAAAGACTGGAGGTTTGCCACTGAATCTGTTTCTTTCTTCATTGTTGTCATTGCTGATGTTTTGATGTGGTCCTGCCAATGTGTTTTTCTGACGCTGGATCTTGTACTGACACGGTTAAGTGTTATAAGCTCAGAACCAGGTGCTCTGATGCCAATTGAAGATGTGAAAAACACAAGAAGGGGGGTTGAATTGTAAAACTTTAAATCAAATGCTAGACAACACTGTATTTTTATCCTAGTTCGTTTGATCTCAAACTACTCCAGTCCACCCGTCAAGGTGATTTCGCCTCTCTCCAACGAGGTCTTAATCCACTATATTCAAAGGATTACACAACTACTTTAACAACTGTTAAAGCCTTCTTGAGTATAACCACAAACCGGTTTATCTCAAGGAAATATCTTTACAAATAATTGAACAATAATGTGTTTGAATGTTTTCTAATAAAACAGTATACCACAACTGTGATAATACACAAATTTAAGCTTAGAGTGAAACTGGATTGCTAATGCGTTTGAGTAGGAGTGATTTGAAAGCTTAGCAATTTGTATGAGTGCTTGCGTATATAGTATTAACCTTTTCTTTTCTCACACAGACTTGTTTTTATAGCCAAGGAAGAGATACGTTGATGTCCATAAATCACTTTCAATGATAATAACGTTCTTTCCTATTTGAGAAGATCTTGTCTTGAATAAAGCCGTTGGTAATTAATCTGTCTTGAATGCATAGTAACGCTTCAGAGTGTTTTCTGCTTTAGCTGATGCTGACGCTTCTGAATGCTGATGACTTGGTAAAGATCTTGATCAGAGTCAGAGTGTTTTATGCGCAGATTCTGGTTATCAGGCTTCAGCGTATGATCTGGTAGGTTCAGCGTGTAGCATATGTTATTGATCTTCTGGTGTTGATATGTTACTGATCTTCTGATGTTGATTCCATCAGAACTTCTGTATACCTGTATACACAAAGCATAATTTTAAGCAGCATATTTGTTCTATATAAATATATCTTTGAATTTATTTTATCCTTTGTATTTTGTTATCATCAAAACTCTAATTAAGGGTTGTAGAATCAAATTATGTTCTAACAGTTGCACCTAACCGATATGGAGTAACCAAATTCTCAAAGATGTGACACCGGATGTCATGAAATTTTAGTGTGACAAAAATTTATTGTGCTTGAAGTTTCAAAAATATCACATTTTTTGTTTACGTTTTTGTGCCTTAAATTAATCTCTCAAATGCAATTTCCTCGACAAATTTTTGGAGTCAATCTCAAAGCATGTTAGGAACATTGGAATGGTCGAACAATTATGGAATTCAAAAGAAGACATCAAAAGAGGCATGAAAAATATGTTGTAGTTATAAAAGCTCATGGGGTTTTTATGAAAGGCATATCGATTAGAGGAAAGGCCAATGGTAAGTCTGTACTCAAGGTAAAACCTTTGGAACTTTTATCTTGTATGATATTATTATTACATTTTATAACAATCAAGTTGTTATTGATACAATAGATGCCTTTAATGATGGTGACGATTATTGTCTTAAGAATATTATTTATGTTATTCTGAATGTTGAGGTACTCACCTCTGAAACTAGTCCAGACAACCTCATGCATAATATCCTCACTCACATTGAACATACTGAGAGTGGTTATAATATTAATGTATTTCAAGATATCACTGAAGATTTTAGTGAAGAAGGAAATGAATATGTCAACCAGGATGTGTCAGACAACTTGTATGACATGTTGGTGACTGAGTCTCCAACTCAAAAGGAGGATTTTCCTCTGACAATCCTGAAATGAATGATGTGGTGAATAATATGAGTGACAACATTGATGATGTTGTTAATGATTATGTACATGATAATTAGATTTTTACTATTAATAAATTCTCTTAAAAAGGAAAGAAAATTGCTCCAAGCATTGTAGAGCATGATGTCGAGGAACTTGTCATGCACATATTGCATGACAATATGAAGATTAATGTGCATGATGTAAAGGGTATTATAAATGTTAAAATGCATATTGAAGGAAAGAAGCTTCCAAGAACTCATCGTCTCTTCCTATTCATTTTAAAGAAAGTATAATAAAATGGATTTTTTTACAATAGGATAATGGCTCTTTATAAACTCTATGTTGAAGCATTAAAGTATAGTTAAATTATAAAGTCTTTTAGCGATTCTCAATCTTTGAAGACAGTGTTTAAAGTTGGATCTTGTTATCCTAAGTTGGTGAAGGAATTTGTGATTAAACTTCCTATTGGTTTCCTCTCTTTAATTTATGGTGTAAAGCATGATAATCCTTCTAGGGTCCACATGTTGTTTGTCAAGAAACATGTCCAGACATTAGTATTCCCAATGTTCCTATTATTGATGAATATGGTTTTGTTATAAAATAATAAGTCTGTAATCAAAAGCAATTTCCTGCTACATCACTATATTTCTTTACCAGGTAAGAACTTTTTCTACCCTGGAATATGGAGAATGTTGTCCTTATCAAATTGTTAAACTTGTTGAGTCTCATGGAATCCAGTCACCTATTGGCATTCCCTCTTTAATCTGTGATATTTTGAGTGTTCAAAATAAATACTTTGTTAGTTGTGATGAAGAGTTTGATGTTTCCCCAAGTGTTTTGAATTTAAGCTACATGATTAATGTTGGGAAAAATGTTGCTGACATTGTGACACATTATTGCACCTACTGATGAAATTAGTCTAGTCCTTGATGGATAAATAGTATGTGTGCCTATGAGTAGTCATATTCTCAAAGGCTTTGATTCATGGGAGATATAGTATTATTAAAATACCAACAAAAAAATGTGTGTTCTCCCAAATTTGTTAGAGTTTCTTCATCTCAACCTATGGTTACTGCTATTACTATTTTTGTACTCCTTCGTACTTGTGCCCATTTTGGGCTGGATATTTCTATTACACATTCCCCATTTCAACCAATTTAAGGGAGATGATGATTTAATGATATGCAAGAAATGATGTTGTTTCTATCTGGTTTTCATAAGCACTTGTATGGTGCTGTTATCTATAAGCTCAAGCTTATGGTTCTGTTTTAGCTAACATGTTTTTGGTTTTGCTGAACTCTAAGAACTATGTCATGAAGAATTTTTGAAATAATGTGCGTAACATCTGAACTGTTGGCAGGATCTATCGTTGGTTTGGTAGTTTATGTAAAGTTATTGTGTTTAGCACATGTTGGTTATTTCTCCATTGTTAGTTGATGGTGGTTCCTTGTCTTTATTCTCTTTTGAGGAAAAAAGGGGGACAAAAAGGAAGATACATTACTCTTTAAGGGTATTGTTTCTGCAATATTTATGCTATCAGTGGTGCGTTTCTTTGAAAAGTGTTTAATTTATACTATATGTGCTTTGCTTAAAAATAGCCCAAAGAGCATTTTGTTATTACATTCGAATTAACTTATTTTATAGGAAAAATGGAAAACAAAATGTCACAAAAGTTGTGGAGCACATCTTAATTCATTTGGTTTTGTGTTTGATTCTAGAGATTATTACAATAGAAGGTTAAGGGTTGTTCAAGTCCAAGTTTCTACTGAAGTTTCTTTGAAAGAAAATTTGGTTGTAAGAAACTTGTTGAGAAAAATGTTTAGAACATTTGTATTTTACTCAAAAGTTGATTACAAGAGTTGGTTTACGTTTGTTCAATCCAAGTTTCTACTAAAGTTGCTTGACAAAAAGATTTGGTTGTAAGAAAATTATTGAGAAAGATGTCTGGAACATGATGTGTGACATATTGGTGCGCGTGCAACTCATATTAGATTATCATGCACTTCAAATTTGTTTCAAGATTTGTTCAATTTTAATCCTATTAAAAGTCTGTTGAATTTGTGTTTAAAAATAAGCATTTTAAATCCAAATCAGTTTGAAAAAAGATTTTATTAAATCATATATTTATATGGAGAAAAATCTTAATAGAATGTGGTTTAAACAAGAGATTTATATTTTCATTTAATACAAGATTTGAAGTTGTTTTATTTAAAGGAGATTTGTTTCCTTTTATATCCAATCAAATATTTGATTGATTATGTGCTTTTTGTTTTAAAGAACACAAGATTGAATTTGATTTAATCAAGAGATTTATTCTGAATCTTTTACTTGAGCTAGAAGTTGGAATTATGATTCATATCAATTAAATATTTTATTTGATTTGTTTAAGATTCAAAATTTGGTTACATGGACAGATGTCAAGATAAATATTCCACGGTTTGTGAGACATCTTGTCTCAAACTGATTTCTTAGAGAGCAAGATAAATTGAAGTATATGTTGTCCTTGTAAGATTTAATTCTTACAAGGACAACATATACTTCAAATTCTAAACAATTCAAGGGTGTGTTTGGTTAAGATAATTGAGAATTTTTAAAGAATTTAAAATTCGAAACAATTCAAACGATCCATTGAAATTCATTCGGTTTTAAATTCTTTTGTTTAGATAGAGTTTTAAAATAATTCATTGTTAAAATATTTAGGTCATTTTAGTATGTTTTAAATATTTGAGGCCAAATTTAAAATATTAAGAAGATGGACCAATTTACAATTTTTGAATAATTGAAGGGACTAATTTATAAAATTTAAAGATTATTAAAGACTTATTTGCAATTTTTTGAACATTTTCGTGGTTAATTTGAAATTTTCAAAAAATATGAGAATAATATTGCAAATTTTGAAAAATTATTAATGAACAATTTAACATTATATAGAGTGGATGAGTGATTTCAAATTCTTTATTTAGTTGTCATTTGAAATTTTTAAAATTTATTTTAATAAAATACTTCATAAATTTATACTATTTTAATAATTTTCTATATTTTTTTATCCGAACAATGTATTTTGAGTAAGACATTAGAAGTATGAATCATTTCTCTTATAAAAATTCAATATTTTTTTCATTTTTAATCAATGTGAGACATAACCACACACCCTTGAGAAATTAATATGTAACCCCTGAATTTAAACATGTCACCCCAGACATGGCGCAGTTACGCAAATGTCTCTCAAATAAACTAGAATTTTTTAAATTTTCGGTTCCGTATAGGAAATTTTGCGCAAATACCAAAATTTTTATTAAATTTCCAATTTTTTATAGAGTCATTTAGATGTTATCGGAAATTTGAAATTTCCGGTACCAGATATTCTAAATTTTCTGTGTTTTCCATCATTAAACTAACAAATTGGAAATTTGAAATTTTCGATGTATGAAAAATACTGGATATTTCAAAAAAAAATTTTATGCTTTTGGGATTAATCATTTGTTTCCTTATGTGTACAATCATGACATTGTTGAAATTGCACTTTTTAGAATAAATAAAGTTTTATATGAATCAGTTTATTCATAATGTCATTTTAAGATTTTGATTCATTCAAGGATTAACCAATCACATGTTCAATCATTATAATGGGAGATTGGTTTGTACACTTTTAAGATTGCAGCCAAATTCATGAAGAAGCCCTATTGGGATTTTGGAGCTGGATCATTCCTATTATATATGGATTTCATCTCCTTTGTCAAAACTCAGAACTTAAGAGACAATATCTACTCATTAGGAGAATTTTGTTTTATTTGAGTTTTTGTTTGTATTTTGTACACTCTACTCATGGGCTTTAAATCTAAATTAGTTGAATAGAGTATTGAGTTGTAAGGTTGTATATCATCCATCTTACATTGTTGTAATTGTCCAAAAATATGGGATAATGCTTGAGAGAGTGAGAGGGGTTTCATATTCAGGGGGAGTCCTGAATAAAAATTTATGAGTAGTATTAGGAAAAGAGGCATTGAACTAGAAGTGTTCAACTAAGACCAATTTATACTTCTGACTGTTAAGAGTGAATTTCATTTCTTGGGTTAACGCCCTCTAAACGTTGGTAATTTTGTCTTTATTCTATCTAGTGTGTTATCTTGTCATACATGTTGTGCCAGGCATTGTATTTAACATATTTTTGTTAGAACAAAAATTCAATTAGAGATTGATTCATCCCTTACAATTTAAGTTTTCTACAAAGAAAATTTATTTTCATAAAAGCTATTGAATGGTTGGAGAAATAAAATGCACATTATTTATTCATTTACATTAAAAATTTATCATATCATTCGTAGAGGGAATACCTCTACATATAAATTGTCTCACGCGGGACACTTAGTGGATCATGACACAAGGTTTACCATTGTGCTAGATATAGTTATTTTAGATATCATTTTGGTTTAGTTAATTACTATTTTTGTTAGTTTTGAAAAGTTAGGTACATATAGGGTTGTTTGGGGAGTGTCAAAGCGTCAGTGGACTAAATATTTAAGTTTTAAGAGACTTTAACATCACATATCTACTTAAAATTTTATGGGTGTGTTTGGATATGATAATTGAGAATTTTTAAAGAATTTAAAATTCTAAACAATTCAAACGATTCATTGAAATTCATTCGGTTTTAAATTCTTTTGTTTAGATAGAGTTTTAAAATAATTCATTGTTTAAATATTTGGGTCATTTTAATAAGTTTTAAAAATTTTAGGCCAAATTTAAAATATTAAGAAGATGGACCAATTTACAATTTTTAAATAATTGAAGGGACTAATTTGTAAAATTTAAAGATTATTAAAGACTTATTTGTAATTTTTTGAACATTTTGGTGGTTAATTTAAAATTTTCAAAAAATATGAGAATCATATTGCAAATTTTGAAAAATTATTAATGAACAATTTAACATTATATAGAGTGGATGAGTGATTTCAAATTATTTATTTAGTTGTCATTTGAAATTTTTTAAATTTATTTTAATAAAATAC